AAAAACTCTATTTTTCTTTTTAAAAATTGGCATTTCGCGTAGTTCAACTCGAATCCGTATCTCTTTAAAATTAACAAAACTTCTTTAAGATCGGTCAGATTTTGATCGACTGTGGGTGACGCTATAAGTACGTCATCCATATAGATCAGGACTTTATCGTCGCGGATCAACGGGCTGAGAATCTGTATTAAGCGCTTCTGAAATTCCGCGGGAGATTCACAAAAGCCAAAAGGTAATCGTGTGTATTCGTACTGCCCGTCCGGCGTCGCAAAGGCAAAGTACTTCGTCGAGTTTTTCTCCACTTTTATTTGGTGGAAGCTATCTTTTAAATCTAGCAACGTATAAATCTTTTTACCATTTAATCGAGTCAGGCACTCTTCAATGACCGGAAACGGGTACTTTTGTCTTTCGACACGCGAGTTCAGTGGTCGTAGGTCCACGCACAACCTAATTTGCCCGTTTCTTTTTCTCACAGGCACTACCCTGGCGCAATACGGAGAGGTGCTCGGCTGTACAATTCCGCGAGCTAAGAGGTCGTCGACGATACCTCTAATCTGGAGGCGTTCCGCATACGCGAATCTTCTAGGGGAGAAGGAATACGTTGAGTCATCCTTCAACCGTACCTGTACCGAGTAATCGTCCTCTACCGCTATGCTTTTAGTTTGTTTAACTTCTGCTATTATATCTTTCAATTTTCGTTTATCTTTCGCGTCCAAGTCCGTTATTGTATTTTCGATCATGTCTTCTAGCGGAATGTGACCGTCCGCTTCGACACACAAAGGCAGCTGGGCAAATAGCTGAACGCTTTCCTCCTCACCTTGGGTTATTGGTCTGAAGATCAAAGTAAGTTTTTGTTTCCGCATAAACTCTCTGCCGAGAATAATATCGCCTTCGAATACGTTTTCCTTTAGGATATGTAAATCTACACTCAGCGAAATATTTGGCAGTTGCGGTAAACTTACTTCGACCTTCACGATACCTATTACTTCTAACACGTGATCGCTTAAATTTCGTAATTTCGTTTTTACCGGCGATAATTTTATTTCACGCGGTTTCACATATTTTTCATATACGCTAAATTTCGCGAACGAAACTGGACTTCCAGTATCAATGAGAGCTAATAATTTGCAACGCTCACCGTTTATGCTGTCTATTGGTACTAACGGGTCGTTGATTTCCAGGTTGCACTCGGGGCGATCCACCGATGCCACCACCTCTGCGGCCGGCTCCGGCTCCTGCGACACGCTCGCCGCTGCCTTGGTCGTTGAGGTCGAAGTCCCTGGCTTCTCGTCTTTGCGTTTGAGGACCGGGCACTCGAACCTCCTGTGCCCTTTCTTCTTACAATAAAAACAACTGGGCTCGACCTTGCAGTCCCTTGCGGCGTGGCCCTTCGTCCCGCAGTTCCTGCACGGTACGTCCTTTGCCTTCCCGTTCGTTCCTGACGGAGCCGTCTTTCGGTCGGTGTCCACCACACCTTCCGCTATGCTCCTCATGCGTTCCAGGAAACTGTTTAACGGCTCGGTCGCGATGGATAGGGCCGTCGCCTTGATCGCGCTCTGCGTGATGCCTCCGATCAGCAATTGTACTGTATCTTGCTCCGGTAAGTTCAGCGCTTGGATCATGGCCAACTTCTCGATCGCGTACCGGTCAAACGTCTCCTTCTGCGATTGCCACTTGCGAGCCTCTATCTTCTGCATCGATCTGTAAAAGGGAATCTTACGCTCAAAAATTTTCGTGATTTCCAGGCGCAGGCCGATCCAGGACTCCATGGCGAGACCCGTCTGGATCTCGTACCACCTGCGCGCGGATTTCGTCAGCCTACTGGAGGCTGCTAATAAGGTCACCCCGTCCGTTGCCCCGTGAACTTGGGCGACCTTGTCGACTCGCTTCGTCCACGCCTGGACGTTATCGTCCTCCTCGCCAGCGAACTCGGGGATCTGCGACGCCAGGCAGTTCACCAGGCTTCCTACTGGCGGGGCCTCTCCGGAAACTCGAGCCAGCGGCGGGTTGCTCTCTACGGTAGACCTTGATGTCTGCTGTCCGGCTTCTGGCGGGTCGAGGCTTCCTACCGGGACTCTGCTCCCGTTGCTCATAGCCGTCAGCAGTCTCTCAAATTGCTGCTGCTGCAGCTGATCAGCCAGTCTTTGCTGCTCGAGCATCCCGTCTATGGATGCTAGGACTTGGCGTAGCAGGGGCGCTGATACTTGCTCCGCGGAGCCTGCCGAAGGTTTTCTTTGCCTGTTGGCCGCCGCTGCTCTGGCCGCCTCATCCTGTAGATCCTGAGGTCCTTGTTTCTCCAGGTGCTTCATTATATTCGCTATTATCGTGCTTTTATCGCCTGTAGTGGCCAGCCCGTATCTATTCGCCTCTTCTTTCAGTTGCTCCAGAGTGTACGCTTCGAGCTTGGTCCTGTCCATGGCGTGATTCGAGCGTGCCTTCACCGTGCGCTGCAAGCTCCTTTGTCCTCCTTGGCGGGTAGTGGATTGGAATCCCACTTCTGATTTAATTGTAAGGGGGAATAGGGATTTATTCCCCCCAAAAAGGAAATAATCAGGATGCTGGGTGAGCGTAGGATAAGAGGAGACTGAGGCTGTACTCACTGTACGAATAAAGTAAATGAAGAAACGAACTTGTATTTGAAATATCTCTGTACAACGACTCTCGAGACCAGTGCTGCTGACTGTGTCCCGTCTCGGAGGAGAGTGATCTCTCTTCCACGAAATCGGAGCTCGAATGCCCGCTCCCCGTTCTTGCGCATGAGCAAGTTCGCGGGGCCAAGTTCATTGGCTGAACACGGTTGGCCCGCAGCGCGCCGCGCGGCCAGCTGACAATGTGCCGTGCGCCGGCGCATTGTCCTCTGGTTTCTTACATTACCTTGAGTGCATATGCACCCTGAGGAAGTCTTATTGAGTGCTCAAGGCTAGCGGACCCGTAGTATCTAATCAGGCGGCATATAGAGTATCATAAAGGGAAAATATAAGGTGATCGCAGACATCAACTTCCGGACCTTCAAGATAGCCTTAGGTATCTGGACTGCAATACGCATCATCTTCTGTGCACATGGCCAGCATGCCCCTCCATTCTCAACCACCTCCACCAACCACCAGACCAAGCCCACGAAGAGGAAGACCAGAGTTGAGCGGTAACATCCATAGAGAGCAGACGTATTAACCGCAGAGTTGAGCGGACATTCAAAGTGACCAGACGTATTATAAGAAGACATCACCAGCAGCGAACTTAGTCGAGGACTTAGAACCATCGACATCTCTCGAGCCCCCTTGAAGTCTTAGCGACTAGGATCCCACGTAGCAGTGGCGGACCAGAACCCTGCTGACGTATACCCTGGAAGACGTTGCTTGCTAGAATTCGGCAAGGACTCTTCAGTTAATTATCGAGAGACGCCAGCCTCTTCAAGCTGCATCAACCGCCTTCCCTCCGTCGGGCATCCAACATCAATCGTAAGCCTGTCGTCAATCTGCGAATTAATTTTAAGTAAGTCTAGTATTCGGCTTTTGTATTAATCATTTATAAAAGAAAAGCCTATTAAAATTTTTATATTCCACTATAACTATTGAGAGTTGAATTATATTAGAATTAATTATAAAATTCCATTAAGATTATAATCCCTCTTATTAATTATCTATATATTTTAAAGAATTATTTCAAGAAGGTAAGAATTTCAAGGTTATTTCAAAATATTTCGAGGTTGCTTTGAGGAAATATTCAGTTTCAAGAATATTTCAAGTGAATGAATTATAAAAATTAATGCACGAAAGACATAAGTTGATATCGATACTACATAAGAAATGAATTACTAACATAGCTTAAGCATACATTATCCCATGAAAAGCCCTGTACATCCAGAACACCCTATAACCTTTATCCCCTCCACCGGTGATAGTGCCGAAAATTAAGTGAACCAGTGAAATAGAGGAAATCAATTTACGCGAGCGCGAATAAAGATTTAGTGAATTATCATATTAGAGGAAGTGTCTCGACAGGGAAAGCAATTGAACGGAAAAAGCCTGATGCGACTATCGTTCCAGGGCTTGTTCTCTTGCGGACCTTGGGTGGCATTCCCTCAGTCGTGGATACGTAAAATCAAGAATTCAAAATAAAATAGTGCCCACAGTTGTGAATTGCGAAACAATCGATTTGAGTCCGCGAGTGCCGAAGCGAATTGGTGTAGAAGCCTCGAAATGCGACTCAGTTCCAGGGGCTAATATTCGCAGAGGTGCCACGTGATTCATTTGTGATTTCCCTGATTGCTGAAAAGAGCGTCGGAAAAGACGGCTCAGTAACATTTCTTAATTAAAAGGAGCTAAAGTGAAGATCCTTTCCCTGTTCTTAGCTGCTAAAAATATATAAAAGAGTGGCTATCCTCGACCATCCCCTTTGTGTACATATATTTACTAACATTATTCAATAAGTTTCCGAGGACGAAGGAAAAACCCGTCCTCAAGTTTGGCAGCTGTAAGCGCGTAAGCTAGTAAGTGAGAATTTGACAGGATCTTATTATATAAATTGATACCATTTTACATGATTTTATTTGATTCTAAGTGATGCTATATGATTTTATATGCTTCTCTATCATTTTATATGCTTTAATACGATTTTACATGATTTTATTTGATTTAATTATATACGATTTAATATTGTTCTGAACACTTTTACATGATTTTTATACGATTCTATTCTATCTTATGAGATTTAATACCATTTCATTTGATTTGATACGATTTTTATATACAATTTTACATTTTATTGATTCTACTACCATTTTCTTTGATTCTATACGATTTTATATGATTCATATACATGATTTTATATTCTATATGATTTAACGTGATTTAACACGGTCCTATATGATTTAATTCTATTTGAGATGATTTAATGCTACTTTATATGATTTAATACGATTTTATACAATTTAATACGACTCTATATGATTTTATGTTACTTTATATGATTTAACACATGATTTCTATGCGATTTTATATGAACCTATATGCTTTTACATGATTTTTATGTGATTTAATACGATTCTATACGCTTTCATACGATTTTATATGCCATTGAGCCATCTTGTTCGTGGCATAAGTGTGAAAGCCTCTTCTCATTGAAACGGTCATAAGCCTACAGAAGGGCAGCCATTTTTCGTCATCGTACGTCACGTTCGTACGTCACGACCTGCCATTTTGCCATAAGCCTTATAAGCCCAGCACGGAATAGTAAAACCGTCTAGATTTAACGGAAATAGAAGCAACTGCTTCTCTTTTATATGATATTCAGTTAAGATACTACTTATTGTTATATTATGTTAAACTCTTAACAATTTATATTCTATGTATATCCTTATTTTTATTGAATACCTTTATGAATATCTCTACAATTTTTAAAAGCATTTTGTTGTATTTTAACAAAGGCTTTCATACCTTTAATATAATTTGAGTTAATAATAAATAAGTTTTGAGTTGAGTTAATAAGATTTTAATTTGATTTTTTATTAGATATTAGTTTTATTTTTATTCGATTGATCACTTGACTGCATTCAATAATTCTCCTGAGCTCTCGGCTTCCCCGGATATAGCCGGTGCATGCAGGTTGTCCGAAAACTTAAATAGAGAGCCTATTACGTAACAACTGTTACACGAAAGGCGCAGCCTAACTTCGCCATTCCGGTAGATATTCGTTTTCTGTCATCGCATACTGTTTTCTCGGCGTATACACGCTCGTACTACCGTCAG